ACATCCATGTTCAGGGGTCTGGATCAGTCTTGTGCTGGCCTCCCAGACAGCAGTCTGGGGTCCATGTGCTCCCCCTTGTTCAGGCCAGCTGTTTCTGTGGGTTTCACCAGCCTGGTACTGACCCCTTTAATCTTCATTCCTCCCTCTCTGCAACTAGGTTCCAGGTTGAGTTCAGTGTATGTCTGTGGATGTCTGCCTCTGCTTCCATCAGCCACTGGATGAGGGCTCTAGGATGGCATAAAAAGTAGTCATCAGTCTCATTATAGGGGAAGGGCATTTAGGTTATCCTCTCCATCATTGCCTAGATTGTGAGTTTGTGTCATCCTTGTGGATATCTGGAAATCTCCCTAGTGCCAGATCTCTCCTTGGTCCTATAATGTCTCCCTCTGTTATGGTATCTCTCATCCTGCTCTCCTCTATTATTTTGCCCAACTCAACATTTCTGCTCCTCCATTTCCTCCTCTCCCCTTCTTTTCTCCTCCTCTCATTCTGGAAGCTCCCTCTCCCCTACCCTCATACTCTCAAGTAGCTCAGGAATTCCTTGCCCTTCCCATTCTGTGGGGTCCATGCAATTTTCCCTGAGAGTCTTCTTTTTTCCTAGTTTCTTTGGTGCAGAGGATTATAGGCTGGTAATCCTTTTCTCTATGTCTAAAATTCATATATGAGTGAGTACATACCATGTTTGTCTTTTTGTGACTGGGTTACCTCACTCAGGATGGTTTCTTCTAGTTCCATCCATTTGCCTGTGAATTTCAAGATTCCATTGCTTTTTTTATGCTGAGTAGTACTCTATTGTATAAATGAACCACATTTTCTCTTTCCATTCTTCAGTTGAGGGACATCTAGGTTGCTTCCAGGTTCTGGCTATTACAAACAATGCTGCTATGAACATGGCTGACCATATGTCCTTGTCGTATGAACGCATGCATTATTTGGGTGTATGCCCAAGAGAGGAATTGCTGGATCTTGAGGTAGATTGATTCCCATTTTTTTTTGAGCAATCCCATACTGATTTCCAGAGTGGTCTTACAAGTCCTTACTCCCACCAGCAATGGAGGAGTGTTCCTTTTTCTCCACATCCTCTCCAGCATAGATTGTCATTGGTATTTTTTATATTAGCCATTATGACAGTTGTGATGTAGTACCTCAGAATTGTTTTGAGTTGCATTTCTCTGATGGCCAAGAATTTTGAGCACTTTCTTAAGTGACTTTCAGCCATTTCAGATTTCTCTGTTGAGAATTCTCTACTTAGTTCTGCACCCGAATATAGTGGGAAATTACCAATACAGAGTCAGGTAGAAATACAGGGGTATTTAATAGGGAAAACCCTGACTTACAGAGCGACCTAGCCAGTGGGCGTGGCAGCTGTCTCCGTTGCAAGCCCAAAAGCGAAACTGAAAGAGAAACTCAGTCCCCTGAAAGCCTCACTCTACATCACCCTGACCACACCCTTGCAAGCATGGTCAGGCACACCTGTAACCA